CCCGAGGTCCGCGATGGGTGGCCGGCGTCGCCTCCGGGCTCCCGCCCAGGGCGCCAGGGCCTCACCCTGCCTGGAGGTGCCCGGGGTGCGGGTGTGTGCTGGGCGAGGCGTCCGTCGGGATTAGGACGGTGGGATGATGCCAGGAGGAGCCGGGAACCGGAGGGTAGCGGCCGCCTCCCGCTGGGGCCCAGGGGTGGCATCCGGCGGGGGTGAGCGGGTGACCTCTGACCTGCTGCCTGAGCCCCCCGCCCTGCAGGGGAGGGAGTCGTGTCAGCGCCGTCCTGTGTTTGAGAGGTGCCCCCCCCCCCCGAAGAGCAGGCCCCTTATCCCAGCAGCGTCAGTGACAGAGCCAGTTTTAGTGTCCCTGGCCTCAGTTACCCATTGATAAAGAGGACCATGTACAATATTGACCTACAGGACAGAACTAGATGAGGTTAAAAAAAAAATTAAAAACCAGGTGTGGCGTGGAATGTTGACTCCTGGCACCGGGGAGGCCGAGGCAGGAAGATCCCAAACCGACCTGGGCCATTTACTAGACCAAGTCTCCAAAACAGGGGACGGGGAGGGAAGAAGTAGGAGTTTGAAATAATACCTGCCTCTCAATAGATCCTGGCATTATTACCTATTTTTTATCTTCACTTTTTAATTGTTGTAATAAGATGCTGTTCAGAGGGTTGTAGTTTTACACAAGCCAGGGAAGGGTGCATTTCCTTTTGGACAAGGCCGCCCCTTCCCTCCCTCTCTCCCCGTTTTTCCTTCCCATTCCCACCCACAAGTGGTGTTGTTCCCTGAGTACCACTGCTGCATTGGTTCACACTTTCTCTCTCCATTTCTGTGCCTCCCTCTTTTCCTCTCAAAGACAGATAAATGAGCAAGTAGGACAAAGAAAAAACTTACTTATTCCCTCTCGTTTTTTGTCAGTTATGGGGCCTGAACTCTGGGCCTGGGCGCTGTCCCTCAGCTCTTCAGCTCAAGGCGAACGCTCTACCACTTGAGCCACAGCGCCACTTTCTTATTTATTCTTTTTTAAGTTAGGCAAAACAGTTACACTACTCTCTGGGAGCCCAGTGTTTTGCTGACTTGTTTTGGCGATGCTGTGGCTCACACCTGGTCTTTGGGCAAGCCCACCATCACCAGCCACAGCCACAGTCCTACTGTTTAACTGGCAATGTCAGAAATGGCAATAATATATTCATGGATCCCTCCTTACTACACTCAGCAAGTCACATTATTTGAAAACAGGTTTAATTCAGCAAAATCTAAAGGAGGGGACAGTTCTCTTCCCCGGGCACTGGCTTGCTGTTAAAGCAGCTATGTGCAGAGAGTACACACATTAACACAGCGGTGTGGTACTTCTGTAAAAGCAAAATTAAAGGTTTTTTTAAGTGAAGGACTGAGATGCTGGTAGGGGGTCTTTCTTACATGTGATACAAAAACAGGAAGAAGATTCTTAGCTAGCGCTTGAGTTCTTTTCGGCCTTCCATGCTATCCTTGTGGTGAATTGAACTGGAGCTGTGTGGCACTGTAGCAGGCACCCCCAACTTAATGACTGCTTTGTTTTGGTTTTGCAGTCCTGGCACTTTGAACTGGGGTCCTTGTGCTTGCTAGGCAGGCTTTCTACAGCTGACCTGTTCCTCCACCCCCACTGTTTACACTGGCTCCTTTTGAGATCAGGTCTCGGGTCTTGTTTTTTGTCCAAGTGTGTGCACCTGAACCCCTGTCTGCCTGCCACATGCTTCCTGTGTTAGCGGGGACCACAGGCAAGTGCCACCACACCCAGCTTTTCCCCTCAGATGGAGTTCGGTGGACTTTGCCGTGTGGGCTGACCTGGAACTGTGATTTTCCTGCCCCCACCTTCCCACGTAGCTGGGACGACAAGAGTGCACCAGTGTGTCCAACTGTTGGTTGGGAAGGGGTCTCCTGTGTGTACGGCTGTGCTGGTCTCAAACGGTGATCCTTCCTGATCCCAGCCTCCGAGTAGCTAGCCTGACAAGTTTGAGGCACCGGCACTTGGTGATCTTAACTTCACTGGGGAAATGGGGTTTGTACGCCATCGAAATCATGCTGTGGATGTTGCTTCCCTGCCCCGCCCCCCAGCTGCTGGTCTGCAGTGTGATTGGCCGTCGGGGCTGGCGGCGGTTCAGCGGTCAGTGCTACTGGCAGGACAGCAGAGGTGGAACCGTAGCAGGTCAAGTGTGTTCAATGCGTGTTCCGTGTGTGACAGGTGTGCTGGCAGAGGGAACGAGACGCTCAGTCCTTCAACTCTGAGTGAACGTCAGAGGCGCAGTGGTGCCCTTTTCACCCCTCGGTGGTGTCCATGGCTGGGGCACCTGCTGTGCTGTGCTGTTCATTGCCCTTGACGGTCCTGGCCCCTTCGCGCTTCAGCTTCAGCTCCTCGCCTGTTTACCAGGCTGACTTTTGGACCTGACATGCATATCTACAGGTGGTCTAGCTGCTCAGGCTCAGAGACCAGGTGCGCCACCGGCAGCTGGATTTAAGACTGAAACGGAGGCCATCACTGCTTATCCAGTGGGCACCACCAGACCCTCCCAGGATTCCCTGTCCCCTCCACTTAGGCGGATTAAGCCCCAGTCATCCTGGACACCACCCTTGGTCCTCTCGCTGGGCCTGAGGCTGCCCCATGGCTGAGGACTGCATCTGCTCCCAGCCTCTACCTGTGCTCAGCCCGGAATCAGCTCCCAGTCAGCTCCTCACGTCTCCTGCTTCGCATGATGGCTCCTGTTTCTAATGCGTGGTCCTTAGCGAGGCCCCCTCCCCACTGTCTGCAAGAGAAAGTCCCTAACGATGCTGCTTTCCACCTCATAACGTGTTCTGTGAGTTGTTTTCGGTATATAAGATGACGGGCGTATGTTAGTACCTAGTGTTGAGCCCAAGTATTTGCTCCTGACACAGTAAGAGAAAAACATTTGTAACTCATACCATATGCAAAGAGCTAACCTCCCTATCAGTGGTGAGCTCTTCTGGACAGGCATCTTGGCAGACATCTATAGTCTCAGTTACTCAAAAGGCTGAGCCTACTGAGACCAGTCTGGGCAATGTAGTGTGTCAGATTCATAGAGAAGAGGAGGGAAAAGAATGAGCTTCTAGAAGACTCCTCATTATAAGGTTAGTGTAAGTCAGGTGCGCGCCAGGAAGTCCTCTCCTGTCTGTTAAATGGGGACCTGTGTGATGCTCCGTAGGTGGTGGTGAGGGGCCATGGTGACCTTTGGGGGGCTTCAGAGTAACACGCCTGCAGAGAGCCCTGGGTAGCATGTGCCACAGCGGAACTTCAGTCCCCAGTCCCCCGTGGGTCCGCCACAACCTCACAGTCTTCGTTCTTGGTGGTTTTGTTTCAGGTCTGCGCTCGAACTCCTTTGGTGACTCATCCTGCCTGCAGGTAACCAGGCTGCTCGTCCAGTGCGGGGGTGCACGTTGCAGGTACTGGCTGGGGCTGATTTGTTTTCTTGCTGTTGTGTCACCTGGGATGTAACCGCATGTGAAAATGTCCCGCGTGGTTCAGGGCTGCCTGGCGGACAGCTGGGATGCCCGGCTGGAGTGCGGCGCTGGGCGTAGGAAGGGCTGGGGCGTGGCTCTGAGGCGCCACCGGGGCGGACGGTGTGGGAACCACCACTGCCCGTGACAGCTCACTGCAGTTCCACCAAGAGCCAATGGGAAACAGGGAGATATCCCCTGGGACAGAAAGTGAAACTTCTAACCATATGTAAATGGCCGCATCTGTAAACAGATGCCAGGAATCGCTGTGTTGATCGTGAAGAACGGCCACTGAAGTGAGCCTTTGCATGAAGAAGGACAGAGAAACGGAGAGGCTGGGCCATAAATCCTTATGGGGATCTTAAGGACAGAAACAGGTGGCAAGTTACCTTAAGAACTAGTGGTCCTGGGTCCCAGGCACCCCAGATTTGAAGCCCACCCTCTGGGAGATGGGATTTCTTTCATGGTGATGAAAATGTTCTGAAATGAGAACTCTGACAATATGCCAAAGTGCACTAATGAGTCATCTGCTTTTAAATGGAGAGCTCATGTCAGGTGATTTTTATCTTGGTGCTACTGCTTCTTTTTTAAAGAAGAGTGTTATCTGTTCAGAGATGGGAGGGTCTCCAAGGTAGACATTAATGAAGTGAAAGGGAGAAAGGGAGCCAGCTCCTTTCCAGGGGCCATCTGAGTTCACACCTGGATGTTCTTCACCTTTTCAGGCTTATCTGAAGGCCTGAAAGCTCATGTGGCCAGGCAGTTTCCAGTTTTGCTCCGAAATTCGAGTCCCATATGGGAGATGTTTCAGAATACTAAGTATGTTTTTCTCGGTAGTTGGCGCAGTGAAGGGTGAGCAGACAGGCCATCAATGATGGATCCTGGGTCAGCTCTATAAACTGGCCATGTGTCTTTGATCCGTATTACAACAGGATGGTGGGTCTCGAGCATCTAGGAGTGTCTGGTGGCTGCAGACATGTCCTCCGTTAGGGGTCAGGGGTTTGAAGCCAGGGCCTCTTCCCCCTTCTGGACAAGTGCTCTACCACGGGGGCCACGCCTCCCCTCTCCACCTCCCCCCACCCGCCCCGCCCCATCCATCATTTATACAAAACTGTAGGTGTGCTCATAATTGCCGCCCGGGTTTGCCATCTAGGGGCTGAGATGGACCTTGTTCTCGGGGTTGCGGACTACCACTTTTTTACGCCGTACGTCTACCCAGCCTCCTGGCCAGAGGACAGCATCCTCCGGCAGACCATCAGTCTCCTGATTGTAACAAATCTTGGCGCTTATGCGCTCTACTTTTTCTTTGCCACACTGAGCTACTATTTTGTGTTTGATCACTCATTAATGAAACATCCGCAGTTTTTAAAGGTAAGAGTCTTTCCTATTCTGACTGCTGTTAGAGTCAAAAATAATAATATAATGCTTGTGAGCTTTTCAAATTAAAGTAGTTATAGGATACCATTAAGTAGTTTCAAAACCCAGTCCTCAACAAAGGTTAGATACTTTTCTCATAGTGATCAATGGATAATAAATGCACTAGTCTGTGTAATTATTGGTATACTGTTCAACTTTCACAAATGGAAATATGTTTTTACTTTGTGTATTTTTCTTTGACACACTATTCAAATTCTGTCATGTTTGAGTCTGACTATAATCAGGCCAGCATTTAGCTGTCTCTGTTTGTCAGTTTCTCCAAGGACTGAAGTTAGAAGAAAGTAAATAGGTCCATTATGAAAGAAATAATATCCCAAAATAGAGGTTTAGACTGCAGATTTCGTGAGGAGAAAAGGTTTCAGAATTTAAGATAATTCCTGTATTTGCTCTGCACAAAAGGAATGTTTTTTTCTTCTCCTACTCCATTCTCATTTAAATGTAACAGAAAAATGTGTTACAGTTTTTGTAGAGCAGGTTTAGAAGGGGGTCCTTAATAAGACAGAGAGATTAAGGATGCTACCCTCATCTGTCTGAGCCGTTTTGGTGACTCTGGTCTTGGGGACCTCATTTTCAGAATCAGGTGTCGCGGGAGATTAAGTACACCATGTGGGCCCTGCCCTGGATGAGCCTCCCCACGGTCTCCCTGTTCCTGCTGGAGATCAGAGGGTTCAGCAAGCTCTATGACCACCTGGGGGAGCCCCCGCACGGTAAGGAGGAGCCGCATCTGATTCCCTCCGGTAATTCCCCACGTCGCTCTGCAAGTAGCTGGCAGATCTGAGACCTTTATCTTTCATTTTTGGCAGCAGTGGGATTTGAACTCAGGACCTTGTACTCCTTGCTTTTCAAAGAGGGTCCTGAACTTGTTGCTTAGGCCAGTCTCAGGCCGCCATCCTCCCATCTCTGCCTCCCGGGTGGCAGGGATTCTAGGCAGGGAACCGTCACACCCACTTGCTTTTGAGGTGGAGTCTGGCTTGTTTTCTGTCCCGGCTTCCTGAGTAGTTGGGATTACTGGCGTGAGCCACTGTGTCTGAGCCGTTAGCCCAGCCTATAGGCACCAAAACCCACTGTCAGAGCAAGAGGTTGATTGTTTGGGAACAAAAGTTAAATGCTAAGGTGATACTTGGACTATAGAGTAAAAGAGGAAGTTGTGGTTTGGGGAACAGTATGATTAGGGTACAGAGGAGGCTCCCGACTCTGGGGTGGTGTTACTCAGTGAAGTATAGGAAGTATTAGGATCCAAAGGAGTAAAGGCTAATCTTAAACCATTTGGTGCAAAGTAGGGAGATAAAGCCATCTTGGGGCCAGCCTTTTCTGTCTCATACGTATCATTACATTCTAAGAAACAAGCTCTCTTTAGCATGTATGATTTTCATGTTCTTGTATATAAGTTCAGAAAGAAACCAGCACCGGGCACTGCTAGCTCACACCTGTCATCCTAGCTACTTAGGAGGCTGAGGTCTGAGGATCGCGTTTCAAAGCCCGCCCGGACAGGAAAGTTCAAGAGACTTTTATCTTTATTAACCTACTCAGAAAAAGCCAGAGGGACAGTACCCAGGCCCTGAGTTCAAGCCCCAAGACCAGCAAAAAAAAAAAAAAAAAGAACCTTTCCATTCTTAATACGAGAAAGAAGTACAGATGACCAGATTCCAGAACATGGTTTGTAATGGGTGGAAGGGTCCAGAACAGTGGATGACCCCAGGTACCCACCTGTATGTAAAAAGTGAACACACACCTTGACTCTCCTCTGTCCCTGTGCCCTCCCAGGCTGGGTGGAGCTGGCTGGTAGCGTGGTATCCTTCCTCTTCTTCACGGACATGCTGATCTACTTCATCCACCGCGGCCTGCACCATAGACTGCTGTACAAGGTAGCGTCCTTTCTCTAGCTCCACCGATTTCCTCTCATGTAGCTCATCCTCACGGGGCATCCTCATCCTGGGGGCAAGTTCGCGCTCTTCTTTGTGGGTCCCGAGGGGCTGTTCTTAAAATGGTCATTTCAGCTCAAATACCCAAGAGCAGATGGGTGGGTCACTAAAATGTACATGCACACAACGGAAGTTTATACATCTGCTAGAAAGAATAAGATGATGTCACTTGCAGGGACCTAGAACAAACCATGCTAGGTGAGGTAGGCCAAGCTCAGAGAGACACGTGGCCCATGCTTTCTCTCCTACGTGGCATAACCCCTCTGAACACGTAAGATGCTACCTGGTGAAATGAGCCCAGGAACTGGAAACGTGGGCTTTTCTGTTATTGTCGGTGGTGTTCATGTTTAGTTTTTTTGTCTTTTCACCCCTTTTAGGAGGAGTAAAGGGGCGTAGGAAGGGAGGGGGTGGGTGAACAAATGTGGACATGATATTCAGTCGATGCTACATGGGAAGTGACCTATGTAACTTACGGGCAGGGGCGGGAGGGTGGAAGCAGGGGACCGCAGAGGAGAGGGTCTGCAACACCTGAATAATGACAATAAAATTATATTTAAAAAAATGACTATTTGGGGGTAAAGAAGGAAGCCTCGTCTGAAGTGACCGCCGGTGTCAGAAGGATTTTCCAGGTAGGTTGTTTGTAGGATGCGAAGGTGAACGGGCAGGGCGGGGGAGAGTAATGGTGCTGCATTCCTTTCTTTCCCAGAACATACACAAACCTCACCACATTTGGAAGGTGCCCACTCCGTTTGCAAGCCACGCCTTCCACCCTGTGGATGGCTTTGTCCAGAGCCTGCCTTACCACATCTATCCCTTCGTCTTCCCGCTGCACAAGGTGGTTTACCTGACTCTGTACGTCCTGGTCAATATCTGGACAATCTCCATTCACGATGGGGATTTTCGTGTGCCCCGGGCCTTGAAGCCATTCATTAACGGCTCGGCGCATCACACCGACCACCACCTGTTCTTTGACTATAACTATGGACAGTACTTCACCCTGTGGGATAGGATCGGGGGCTCGTTCAAAAATCCATCTGCTTTCGAGGGGTCGGGACCGCTCAATTATGTGAAGAAGATGGCAGAAGAGAAGTGCAACGGCTCCGTGGAGAGCAACTGTGAGCGTGACGGCGGGCGCCAGGGAGCGTCTTCCAAGGCTGACTAGACTATGGCCGGGTTTTCATAAAGATCTTTAACAAGGGAAAGTAATCTGCACACAGCCCCGTAAAATCAGCATTAAAAATCAGCCTGGTGTGTACTGCTGGTGAAGCGGCCGCATGGAAGATGCCATGCACCGGTCCAGGGATGCGGTGTCAGGGTCTGGACGCGCTCCTTTTGTCTCACAGTGCTCCTGTCCACTCAGAGAGATCCACTGAGCTGAACATACTGATGCTAAGCACCAAGGAATAGCCAAGCAATACCGATAATGTAAAGATGGTGGCTTGCTTGCCAAGTGACTCATTCTTCAATGTTGGCTCATAATATAGGGCTTTGTTTAAATGGGGGAAAAAATCTGCTCCATCAGCTGCATGGCAGTGATGGACTAAATAGCAAGAAGAATAAGATTACCATCTTCCTGTACACACACACACACACACACACACACACACACACACACACACACACACACACACACACACACACACACACACACACACACCCCTTATTCTCTGGGGACATTATTCCCAATGAATACTAATGAATAAATACATTGGAATCTGTAAAAGGTATCAGTTCAACCGTTTGATATTTGATATTGATAGTTATCATTTAAAAAGAATTATTTAAGAAATATAAAAATGTGACTCTGAATGTGCCTAGATAGGGAAGCGTGATGTGCAGATATATTTTACATGACTTATTTTAAATTAAATTGTTTGGACTGCACTTTTAAAATAGTTCCAAATGACAAACCTGATGGATGTTTTCTTTATCATGAAGGAAATAATTGCCAGATATTTAGGTCTCTGAATATTTGTTTTGAAATCTCACTCAAAAGAGAGTTAGCCCCAATGCCTCCACAAAATGATTTAATGAATACTTATTGAAGAACTGTGGTGAGTTGTGCTATAAGTATATTGGGAAGAAATATGGAGCATAAATGTAATCTGTTCGCTGTTTATAAAAATCAATAAAAGGTGATCATGACTACTGTTAAAATCTACAAGTCAAATGTATGAGTTACTCTTTATTCAGACTTGCATGAACTCATGTGCGCGATTAAGACTTGAATGTCCCCAATTCTTGGTGTCTAGAGGAGAAGGAAAAGGGGGTGTAAGTGTTTGATGAGCTCAAAGTGTTTTTAAGTGGACCATGCACTAGTTTATCTTAGTGTTTTTTGATTCCACAATTCCAGTGTGAATGCGAAATGTTTCTTCTGGGTTTTGGTTCTTGTTTTGCTAATAGAGATGAAAGGATGTAATTTACACACACAGAGAGAAAATCCCTCAGAAGTGTTATTCAGTGTCAAAGATTGTTACCAGCCTTCTTTCCTCTTGCCCTTCTTAAATTCTGGTCTTTATTACATGTTACGTAATACATTATTCCATAAGTCTGGCCATATCATGTTACCCTGTTCTAACAACTTCCTATTATCCATTCCACCACACCCTCCTGTTGGGAATTCAAAGAATATTCATGGGTGTGAGGAGCAAGTCACAGACTCCCCCACCCCCAACTTTCAGACCTCTTAGAGGACAGCAGGGGAAATCAATGCACATTTTACACTGTTTTGTGGAAGTGTGTAGAACACATTTACCGGGAGCCTTCACCTTCCTCTCCGTCCTGGATTCCCAGTGCCTAGTCTCCTCTGCTCCTCAGATTTTTTTTTCCCTCCCCTCCCAGCTTCTAGAAGTCAGGTAGATTTGAGAGGGAACTGTGAGCTCTTGCTGGGTGAAATTTGAGTTGCAGTGTACAGTGCGAGACAGGTTGTTTCTAGAGAGATGGTGTCTGGAGACAACTCAAGAGGTCCGAGGTCATCACATGGAAGAACCGGCTTGAGGGCCCCTCGGTCTGGCCGTCTCCTCCAGAATTCATGAGCTGCAGCGTCATCGCGGATGGCGTGGTGGTGGACGTGAGGGGTCACGCTCTCACGGAAGGCAGCCAGGACCTTGTAAAACAAGCACACACGAGTCCCTCATTGCTTTGGCGTCTCTGTTCCCTTTACCTCGAGGACACAGCATTTGTCTTCTGGGGAAGCTGCAGCAGTGAGTCCCTGTTGAGGACAGAGCCAGAGATCAGGTCCTCACCAGCCTCCAGGACTGCTGGACGGAAATTGCTGTTTGTAAAGGGCCTGCTCTCAGTCACTTTCTTTTTAAGCTGGAAGACATGACAAGTGGAAAGAACTTTTCTGCCTGCCTAACTTCTCTTGACTGGAAGTCTTAACTCTCGTCCTTCCTGCCTTCTGGCCTCTTCCCTCAGCAGGTGCACCTTATTAATTCCAGGCCACAGATGGCTTGGGGGAGACCTTATCTGAATGGTCATTGCACTAAACCACGGGTTCTTACAGAATTCCCAAGATACTTGAGGTTTCGTAGTTTGAATGAGATCATGGAAATGTTACCTCTGTCAATACATGTTCCATGAACCACTACTAGGTGCCAAACACTACACCACATGCCAGTGTGTGGCCTGATCTCTTGGACCCACACACTTGCTTTTCTTCAGTTCATAAGCCTCTATTGAATGTCTTGGGTGGGCTGGAGGGCCCAAAGGAGATGGGGAAAGAAAGCTCCCTCCCTCGCGGTGTAGATGTGTTCCTCCCCCTGCTCTTTCCATCCTGAGCCAGGAGGAGGGGGACGTCCAGGCATCCTGTGGGGAGCAGAGCTCTGCCAGGTTGAGCAAGGCCTTGTGCACACAGTGCACTATGAGGAGTCAAGCTCCCGAACTTGTGTTTTACCCAAGAAAACCAGGAAGGACTCCTGGGGTGCGGCTTGCAGAAGGTGACACCTGAAAGAAGAGGAAGGACAGGCTGCTGGCTCCTAGCAGGAGTTCAGGGTGGGTCTTTGGATGTCTGAGACAGGACACCGAGGCTTCTGGGACCTCAGCTGAGTAGGAGCTGGAACGTTTCAGAAATGGAGGGCAGAAGGCCGAAGGTGAGAAATACAGGGAGCCAGAATGGCCGAGGTGGGTTCAGGCTCTGTGGGGAACAGCCGAGGAAAGGCTTGGAACGCACAGATGAGTTCTGATCATGTCTGAGGACCACACTGCAGTGAGGACAAGCAGGGAATCTTCAGCCCTCTGGCTTGGTAGTGATCAGACCATATGGGTGCTGGCAGTTCATGTCTCTAATCTCAGCTACTCAGGAAGCTGGCATCTGAGGATCACAGTTGAGGGTGACCCCGGACTGAAAAGTACATGAGACTTAGCTCCAAGTAACCACCAAAGAGCCGAAGCAAAGCTGAGCCTCAAGTAGTAGAGTGTCAGCCTTGAGCCAAAAAAAAAGAGCTCAGGGACAGCATCCAGGCACTAAGTTCAAGCCCCTCTACCAGCTAACAGCTGATGTTAGCCTGGCTAGTGTGTAGGCGTGGGCAGCTGACTTACCTTCCCAGGTCTCTGTCCATAGTCCTCAAAGGAGGATTCAGCTCTCTTGTCTCATGAACTTCTCTGAGAGATGAATGAATGGACTACTGTGCATTGGCCTGTTAGAGTTGCAACTGCTTTGGAAGATCAGAGCAAAAGCAAATGCAGATTTTTGAAGAATGTTCTGTATAAGGAAGGACTCTACAACTGCACTCTTCTCAGCCCATGTTTGCTCCTTCGTTTTGTTTTGGTTTTGGTTATTTTTCCTGGCTCACGCTGAGCAGTTTCTAGAATTCACCTTTAGGTGGTGTACTTCTTTCTCATTTTGTAGCCAGAAAAGCAAGAGCAGAGTCCACATTTCCTGTCTAGACAGATGATGTGCATGGGATCATACAGTCTTCAGACTGGAAGGATCTGGGAAGGTCATCTCTTATCTAGAACATTGTGCTCCTCAACCAACCCCCTCTGTGTTCCTTTTAGCAGAGTTTAAAGCCCCACTCCTTCCATAGGTGTCTATATTTGATTAAAGCTCAAAAATGGCCACCAGAGCACAAAGCATCAAAGTCCAAATAAGATCTATATGTACATCAACACCCAGGCCTTTCCCACCAGGTGCGCAAACACCTGGAGTCTTAGGTATCCTGGCAGCGTGGAAAAGGTTTACCTTGGTGCTCATGAATCTGAGGCTGAGATTTCCCTGTATTCTAAGTCCATACACAGCAAGAATCACCCAGCAGACAGCTTTCCAAGTGGCAAGGAAGTCACCAGGGCAAGAATTAGAAAAACATGGCGTCTTTAGTAATCCCAGCACTCAAAGAGGCAGGAAGAGCCCGAGTCGGAAGCCAGCTTGGATTACTCAGTGAGTTCAAGGCCAGCGTGGGCCACAACATGAGAGCTTGCTCAAAAACCAAAACAGACAACAAATGAAAGATTCCCAAAGCTCTACAACCCCAGCAGGAGCTACTCCTTACTCCTTCCGTTTTCCGACGGGATGCACAAGGCAAGAGTTTTTTCAATCATACTATCAGCTACTCTTTTTTTTTTTTTTTTGGGTCCGGTCGTGGGGCCTGAACTCTGGGCCTGGGTGCTGTCCTTCAGCTCTTCAGCTCAAGGCTAGCGCTCTACCACTTGAGCCACAGTGCCACTTCCAAGGCTTTTTTCTTTTTGCTTATGTGGTGCTGAGGAATCGAACCTAGGGCCTTGAGCATGCAAAGCATGCCACCTTCCCAGCCCACTATCAGCTACTCTTGAAAGTGTCCCTATGGAGTTAAATGTTTGCATGTACCTTGGTTTTTCCCTTAGAAATTGTCACTTTGTGTGTGTGTGTGTATGTGTGTGAAAGTGTGGTGCTAGGGATGGAATCCAAGGCCTGTCACAAACGACCACTGAGCGAGCTCCCGGTTTCTTATTTGTTGTCTTCCTTTGGAAAGACCTAAGGTCCAACAGTTAATGACGCCATATTTAGCAGTGTAGTAAATTTCTTTAGATGTTGAAAGTGTTTTCACAATCAAATATTAACCATGATATTTACAGCAGGTTTCACAACGTATTGCACATCTCCCAGCTGATCTAAAGATAAAAATATCTAGGAGCTATTTGAGTCAGACGTTAGACACCTTTTCAGTTGAGCTCATAAAACAGCAGAATTGCAACTCAGCTGTCTTTGGGTAATACAGCCTCCTCTGTGATTGCATGAAATCATCTCATTGTTATGAACGAGCAGATTGGTTTAGAAGCAGAAGTTAATTAACAAATGGGAGAAGACCTTGGT